CTGATTTATTACTAGAAAAATTACTATGTTTAAACATAATGAAACTTATGTACAGACTAAACTGATATTAACGTTGTTCTAAACCTCTCTAGTTGCTGCAAACCACAATGTGGGGAAAGATGCAGTGTGACAGATTCCAGCTGCTTCTAAATCCTATCAGGTAGTACTTCAGCAAAGTATGTGTGGCATGAAAAGTATAGGACACTGGAGGTCTGAGCTCCTGAGCTCCTAAAAAACTGTGTGACGCAGATATTGATACAATTTTTCCAAAGTGGCTTTTCAGAGATAGCTGGGTATATAAGCTATATCTCTACTGGATTTGGACTGAGCATAATTCAGAGCTGATGGGCCTGACACCACGACAGCAAGAGTGAATAAAGACTTAGGAGCCTTCTTTCAAAACCTTGTGCATACACAAGCAGGTGTCTTGGTGTCTGTCTGCACTCTTTACCTCTCTTCCTTCCTTCACTCCTCAAACACTATCTGCTCCTCTCCCTTCCCTTTTGCACATACAAGAATAAACCAGAGGAAAGGGTAAAGTTTCCAGAACCTCGGGACATTTCTGTACCTTCTTCAGTCCTATGATATTCCTCCCATAAATTTCTTCTCTGCAGAACTGAATAAGAGTGCCTTACTCAGTTTCTCCATATTTTGTACTCCTTTGAAACTGAGAACAGGGGAAACCTATGCAGGACACCGGAGGGAGGGTCAAATTCTGCACCGTTTTTCCTGTTTCCTATACTAGGCTCCTAATGCACCAATTTTAGCTCTAGCTACCTCAAAGCTTGGTACAAGAAGCTCATGTGTGCTTGGGAGGGAGGACCAAGCAAAAGGCAACAGAAGCAGTAGCACAGCAATTTCTCACTCAGCTGCAATCAGCCCAGGCACAATCAGTGGGCTCTCACCGTCTACACCTCCAGGGATTTGCACAGATATAAAGTAATCTAGCAGGTAATTTGCTGGTGCTTGTGGATATAATTTATAATTCTTCAAGGTACAGTCCTGATGTAAGCTTTTGTTTAACAGCACAAGTATTTTCCTAACTGCTATACATGAACCTAGGAGAGGACATCAACCACAACCAAAAGCATGCTTTTCAAACAGAACAGAATAGAATGGTTACAGACACATCCACACACTACATTGTGCACTAATCAAAATCTCTTCTGCATCCATTTTCAGCTGTTTTGAAGACTGATTCTAAGTAGAATGATTTTAATGGAGCTTAATGATGCTGGCAGAGAGAGTTATAGGAGAAAGCTTTACTGATGAAGATGGAGTGCACTTCAAGTTTTTAAATAGATTGCCTTTTAATAAGCAATAAACAAATGGCTCAAGGAAAAGAAAATAAGTTACTGCAAAATAAAATATCCTGTTAAATTATTTTCTTGAAAGGTGTCTGAATGCAGAAAAACAAAAGTTTAGACTCGTACTCTGTTTCAATCAGACTGATTCCCACCAGCATACATATTCACAGAAAAGAAACAGTAATTTCAGCTAGAGCAAAGTACCCAACCTATTCAGCCTTCAAAAACGTCAAGTTGTTGTCTGTGATTTTTTTTTTTATTGGTGGATGTGCTTAACACTTGCATTACTTAGCAAATTAATTTGCACAATTTTTGATTAACAGTGGCTTTGCTCAGACTCAGTCAGTTCTGGTTAAAGCCACAAAGAATCAGTCACATTGGGAGGGCGTGTACCCTAGATGTAGGGCAGAGCAAGAGTGGTGTGCCACATCTGCAAATAAATTAATTGTCTCTTCATCATAAAGCTGTATAACTCTAGTATCACATATTGGATGGAAATACATTAGCTTAAATTTCTGTTGTAATAGAAACTTATCGTAACAGACTTGATACTAGTGTAGCGCTGCTTCTCTTCAGATTTTCTAGTGTCTTTTCCAGAGCACATTCACTAAAATGCATACAGGTAGTAACACATGTGAAGTATTTTAGGAGACAGCTAGCATTTTATCATATTCAACTCACATTAATAAAAAGCAAAACTACACCAGAAGTAGTAAACGAATAAAACCCATATTATACAGCTAAAGCTTTCTAGGCTTTGAATTTGGCACAGTCAGAGAACTGCTTTAAAGGGCTAAAAGAAGAGAACTGAGACAATCTACTAGTTTGCTACCATGGGAGCAGACAATCCCAAGACGTCCATCAGGGCTGTACCTGGACCTACCTGGTTGTACAATGTACAGGTTCAATCCACCAGCCTGGGAGAAAAACTAACCCTTTTTTTCTTTTCTGAACAAGTTTTTTTGCAAGATTTGTGGGTTAAATCAGCCCATCTTGAGGTCAAATAGCAAAGGCAGTAAGTAAAGAGGCAGAAACAAAAGCAGCAGTGATAGGGAAGATGGATCATCTTATTTTGGCAGCAACAATCCCTGGGGATCCCGGAATCACGTACTTATAATCTTACAGTGCGGCATCATGACTGGAGTGCACAAACTGTCACACCAAGACTCCTCAAGCTTTCATTTGTGCTCCTACTGCTGTGCAGACAACCCAGTGGAAAAACTAACATGGAACACAGTTAGCTTGAAACTAAATCAGCTTTTTAATTCAGATAATCATGAGCTAGCACAAGCGCTAGAGCCTGCACAAGAGAAGGAGCTAGAATATCACTTTCAGTAGTTGCTTCAATCGTCTGTGGTAAGAAAGCATCGTAAATGCCCCAAAAGTGATACAGACATAAATACGAACAGGGAGCAAATATATTCAGACATACAACACATTTGTCTCCATTCCCTTTCGTGAGCATGCTAGTTAAATCAGTCACACACACTTTTGTCATTCCTTCTCGTTTTATTCAGCCCAAATACTAGGCTTTCAGTATTAGGCTCACTGTTTTTTCTTCCCTTCCTACAAGCAAACACTATAAACATATTGCTGGCTTTTCAGCATAAAAACCCCTTTTTCCTAAGTATCTCTGCAGCTTTTTCATCATCAGTTAACTTATACAATCAACAATTACACATCAGCACACATTTTTATGGTGGATGGGAGGGTAAGGGAATGACGTCAAACTACCTGCTTCCAGTACTGTTTTATATGCTACTTTCTCGTATAAATACCTCATTAAAAAAACCATGAATAGCATAATACTGTTATGTTCTGAAACAGAAACAATGCACAGAAAAACATTTTATAGTGTGGATACACACTTCACTTGTATCAAATATTTAACTAAAAAGGACAATTTTACTTCAGGAAAAACTAACTTTGTATTTTCTCATATCAACATATTATTTGTACTTTTAGAAAGGATACACCTCGGATAAGCGTTTAAGCATTGTAATGACAATTGTAGAGTTCGGAGACAACAGTAGCACCGCATTAGATATGAATCAGCTGCAGGGATTCAGCACCCATTGCAATGTTTCTTCAGTTTATTAGACTATAATCATCTGTACAGAGTTTAAGTACAGTCATAATAAATCCAACCAGTAAGCTCCAGCATTGACTAGTCATATCTTTGCTTAGAAAAGAAAAAGTAAGCGACAAGGCAACCCCTTCAGCACTTCATGTATTCTTCCAATATCTAGTAATCTGCTTTTCAAATTATGTTTGCTTTATCAAGACAAAGACACTTTAAATCACATTAAAAGTACTAAGACCTTTTGATAAAGACAGGAT